GGCCCAGGGCTGCTGCACGCGTGCACTGCAGGCTGGAGGTGTGGCCCAGGGCTGCCGCACACATGCACTGCAGAGCTGGAGGTGTGGCCCAGGGCTGCTGCACACGTGCACTGCAGGCTGGAGGTGCGGCCCAGGGCTGCTGCACACGTGCACTGTACGCAAGGCCTGTATTTGATCCCCAGCAAAACAAAACAGCTGGCTCCAGCCGAATCGCCAGGATCTGGTCCTGTACCACTTCTGCTCTCCGAAGGGCTTTGTATGGCCCTGGAATGGACGCACCATCGAAGAGGGAGGAACCAAGTGGGACAGAGCCTTTCTCTTGGGACCTCAGGATCTCAGTGTGCATGGCCAGCTTCAGCCAATGAGGCGCAGGAAGTCCAGTTAAACTTGAATGTTAGAAAAGCCATACATGATACGTGCAGCAAGTGTGTCCCAAGAAGCGCTGGCTGGATTTTATCTGGCAGTCCTGCTTGGGCTGGGCTTCCGGTGGCTCTACGAGCTGTCCGAATGTGCTAGAGCATGCTACACATGTGTCTTTATGTGTACTTGTGTGTTCAGTGGCTCAGAACTCCTTCCAAGAGGCTTGCAGAGAGGGCCATAACTCAAACCTGACCCTGAAGCACTGGACTAGGAAGCGTGCTGCCGAGAAGCCGTTGCGCCACTGTACCCTCACCTGTAGGTGGGCGAGGGCAGGTGACTGCACGAAAGCAGACTCTTCCTGGTCCCAAACCAGTCCCTGATGAAAGCTTCCGGAGCTGGGGACAGAACAGCGCTGTCACTCTGCATTAGGAATGCGCTCCTTCCTGTTGCCTCTGCCCTGGTCTCCTGGGAGACACCACCCATGGGCACACTGAAAGCCACCATGCTGCAGTCTCCCTGTCATGTCACAGGGAGCTAGATCCAGGTCAGCTGTGCCTGCCAGCCCTGCCACATTCCAGGCCTGCATCTGTCAGCGCTTGTCACGCTGCCTCCCAGAATAGCAACAGGCCCGGCTGTGCTACTTGCCACTTTAAGTTAAGGCTGATGGAAGAGGGATTTTCCACTTTATCATTCTATTCCAATGTGACTTTTACTATAAGACATGTGTCACTACAGACACAGGTACACATTAAAACACAAACCTGTTTCTTAATCAAATAACACAGTTGAGGTACTTACAGGGCGTTCCACTTTGTCAATCACTTCTATTTCTGGGAGTTCAAACAATTGTCTGATTTTTGCTTTATGAATTGAATTAAAACTGGTAATGTTGTATCTAAACAGAGCAGGTCCTGAATGCTTCCTGATTTAAAGAAAACTGGAACCCTAAACCTTGTGAGCAAAGTTCGAGTTTGCCCTCCTCTCCCTGTAGGACAGTGGAGGGGACATAGCGCTGGAAACTCTCTAAAGACCTAACTTATTGTTAGGGGATGCAAGAGATTTCACTTGTGCAGAGCACCGCTCCGGCGTTTCTGTCACTGTGTCAGTCTGCTACCTTGTCACGTTTCTCAAGCTCCAAGTAAATGTTTTTGCCTGCAGACTTTGTATCGGGGTAGGAGCTGGAGGTCCTTTCAGGTTAGTGGCCCTAGACCCCCCACGCCCGACCGCTCCCCCGACAGCCATACACACCCCAGATCCAGGAGACGGGCGTCGGCAACGTGGTCCCAGCTCCTTCCCTCTGTGAAGTGGCAGCCGGACTGGCAAAGGCGAAGCTTTAGCAGCAGGCTCGCCCTGGGAAGGAGGTCTGTGGAGAGGCGGAGTGAGGGAGAAGGAGGACCAGCCACCTGACAGCCCCGGTGCAATTTTTAGAATGCCCCTGGGTTGTGCAGGCAGCTGGCCAGGGTGGCTGCAGGCAGCCAGGGCTCGCTCCCTGTTTGGCCTTTGCTTTCAGGCCAAGCAGGGACAGAGGGCGGGCCCTGGCTGCCCCGAGGGCTCTGGTTTCTTGACATGGGTTCGGTTAGGTTCAGTTCTTTCTTTCTTTCTTTCTTTCTTTCTTTCTTTCTTTCTTTCTTTCTTTCTTTCTTTCTTTCTTTCTTTCGTCAAGATCAGAGCTTAGTGAGCCTGGGTGTGAGGAGAGGAAGCTAGCTGGGTGGGTATTTGATTATGGGAAGTAGAAGACTGCGCAGAGTGAGAAGAGGAGGCTGCGGGTACAAATTACTTCCTGGACCGGTAACGAGCCTGGTCAGCTCCCGGCCCAGATGCGGTTATAAATAGTGCGCTCCTGGGATCTGCCGTTTGCATGTTCCAGGCGGCGTTGCTCGGAGCAGCGCCCCGAGTGCGCAGGGGTTGCGCCTGCCAGCGAAGCCGGTTTGCGCCAGAACTCCATTACTCAGAGGTCCGCCGTGGCTACCTTTCCTCTGAGGAAAAATATTCAGGGTGGTAACTCACCACGAGCTTTCCATAGGGATCAAGACTGAAAAGCCTGCTGCAAAGTCACAGGAGAGCCGCCTGCATCAGTGGAAACATGCTCTGGGTATTCGTCACCCGTCAGAGGATGCGCTAAGCACGCCTCCCGACCAGGGCACACTGAGAACGTGTCACGCTGAGCGAGTGCTCCACACCCCAGGAGGTGGCCAGCGCGCAGACAGGCCCAAGCAGTGATGCTGAGAACGACTGAAGACGCTGAGCAGCAGGGAGCCAAGAGGCGCACAGCAGAGCTCAGAGGGCAGGTCGTGGGAGGACTGCGGGGCCGGCTCGCACCCCTGCGGCGGAGGTGGGCAGGCATCAGGTGCCGCCGATGGCTAGATGCCCCAGGAGAATCACTGGCAAAAGGAAGGAAAAGCGTGACTACTGGGTGCGATGATGAAGCCTGTTTCCTAGGCCTGGAAAGCAGCAGTGAGAGCCGCAGGGGCGGTTCCAGGTGGTCCCCCAAGAGTCCCACGTGCTCAGAGGGGGGCCTGGGGCGGTACCTGGTCGTGGGCTGCTGCACTCACCAGAGCCCTGCTTCGAGGATGAGTGCGTAGCTCAACGTGTCACCTAGAAGAGCCTGTCCCAGTGGTGTGCCCTGGGCGGGGTCCTCCCCACGCCACCCACTCCCTGTGCTTCCCAGCCATCACAACGGAGCAACTCTCCTCCCTCTTGCCTTTCACCAGGCCACTTATGCCTTTTTCATTGTTTCTGTATAAAAACCTTGCCGTTAGGAGTGCGTGTGTGCAGGACGTAATGGTGACGCTCACTGTGGGGACTCGGGTGTGGACATGACACGTCTTCATTCTTTAGACCCTGAGCTGGGTGCGGCTGCGCATACCTGTAATCCCATCCATCACTCTTGAGGCTAAGGCAGGAGGATCACTGTGAGTTCAGCGGTCAGCCTGGGAGACAAAGTGAACTCAAGGTCAGCCTGAACTGCATAGAGACCCTGTCTCAAAAAGGCCCAAACCAAAAGTATTCTTTTGACCCCTTTCCTTCTCCCAGTCCCCTTCCCAAGCCAGCTGACCATGGGCTGCAGACAGCCATTAAGCTGTTGCTGCCAGGTATCGTGTCTCAGATTCAGGAAAA